TTAAAAAGTGAAAGGAATTGTGCTTAAATAAGCTATTTTTTTCTGCTGAAGCAGCAGAAACTTAGGTTCTTGCTGAAAACTCCAGAATTATTTTTTCTCAAGGGATCAGATTCCTGCAATGCTGCACAGGGCCAAGTGATTTTCTGTCATGCTTATGTAACTATAACACTAAATTCAGATATTTAAGGCCATGATATTCCTCTAGTCTGATTTAAATATAAAAATAAAAAAACCCACAAGAACTTAGACTAAAATAAGTGTTACCTAATGGTTCTGAAACTCTCCTACTTCTGCTGGTGTGCTTGTTTTTGGAATCTGCTAATGCAGCCTGTAGGCTGCTGCTGCAGCCTGTACAACAATACACCCACACCAGGCTTTTGCTTCAACCTTCATGTCTGTAAGAGACAAAGCAAGAGGAAGACCAGCACTGCCAAAGCTTTCATATTCTGGGAAGAAAACTACCAGCCTGGTTAACTTTTTTTAATATTCAACTTCTGGCTTGAAGATATGGCTTGAGTACCTAGTATTTTAAGATCTAACTAGAATGAGTATAGAAATACTTGCTCTCCAGCATAGTGACAACAGTTTGATTCTTAGTATAGAAAAAATTATAGAAAATTAGAAAGATGCTAAGGCACTTGGTAAATTTTTTGTACTTTTTGACTGATAGTTTTAGTTGTCTGTCTTCCTTGGTGTCCTTCTGCTGATTGCAATGGTTAGGCTTTATTTCACACTGCTTTATTTTCACCACTGATATGGAAGTGCTGATGCTCTGCTCTTTAGTTCTGCTCTTATTGGGATAATGTGAATAAGTGACTTCTGAGACTGTCAAACTCCAAAGTAAGTAACATTGAACATAATAATGTAACTGTGATAGAAATGCTATATCTTATCTGGCCAGAGTGAAGAAAATATTTCTGTTGAATGTTTTACTGCTTTTTTTTGCAATAGACAGTAAAAGAAGACTCCAACAGTCAGTGTAACATCTAATCAATGTCAAACTCTATGTGCATATCCTATTTATAAGTAGATTGAAAGCTTCTTGTTAATATGTTAAGCCTTCAAAGAAATGTAGCCCTTTTGAAAGGAGCTAGATAACTTTTGAATTAGTTTCCCTGTTCAGCTTTGATTCAAACCTAATGTGTTCACTGTGACTTTTCCTATTAGCTTTGCTTTGAGGGCTGCACGTACAGAAGAGGTAACCCAAACTCAGTGCTCAAAGAGCCTTTAGCATTACCCAGGCCCTGGGAATGTCTGCTTGGGAATTCTTGCCACCCACATGAAAACTCAAAACTAGCTTGATTTGTCTGTCGGGCAGGAATTTATCCYTCCTCTGCATGCCTCTAAATCATCTCTGCCAGACATGAGTCATCCTTAGAGTTCATAAATTAGAGTGAAAATATATCTGTATGAACCACCAAGCACTTGGTAGGAGTTGTTTTTAAAAAGTAATAAGTGGTAAAAGTGAGGAAAAATAACTAGAGATTTGCACAAAACAGCACTGACCAGGGATGAACTCATCTAGAAAGCCCCTCTCAGGGCTCAACTTTGCTGGTGGTGGGAAAGTGTCCATGGCAGTGGAGGTGGTGGTCCCTGAAGCAATCACCTGCTGTGCCATGGATCCAGACCCTCTTTTTGCTCCTGTTTTCCAGAATCACCAGGATAGTGAAAAACTGAGTATAGCAGGACAAGTGATGAGTTGTGTTGGGAGATTTCTATCCAGGGGCTATTCTTGGACTCAATTTTTTCTTTTATTATACTTATATTTTAACACACACAATTTGTAGGTAACTTTAGTTGTCATGGTAGCCTGGCAGAGCTATGTTCAGTTTTCTTCAGCAAGCAGGAATAGTTTGTCCCCATCTTTGCACTGCAGGAGAGTGTGTTGGTACTGCAGGAGGGCTCCTTTTCCTTCTGCCATGTGCACAGCACTTGCCCCCATGGGCTGACACCAGTTCCCAGTAAGGAAGGCATGTATGCAATCCAGTAAACTCAACAGGAGCTACTCTACTTGAGCAAGTCTCTTCTGAGCAAGGCCATTGTTTTTACAGGGTGAAAGAAAATACGTATTTTCAAATGTCAGTGGTTATATGCCATACAAAAATAATCAATGAACAGACAGCTCCTTTCCAGTAAAACCTGAAATAGGATCACTGTGATTAGACATAAAACAGCCTACATCGAGGGGTGCTATGTGTTCTACTTAGGATTTTATTTTATGGAAATGGCTTCTATTCCTGAGTTGCACTAGGCATCTCATTCTATGTGACTCAACAAAAAATGGAATATTTTTATAATTATCATTTGGAAAAGCCTTTTCACTGCACATAGTTGCTATTTCTATAATCCTTTTGGAGAGCACACATTGCTTTATGCTGTACTGTTCTTTGAAAACTCTCAAAACTGCATAAATTGGTTTTCACATACTAGAAAAGTTCATTAATGAGCTCAAGTTTGTGAAAGACTTCTAGGCTATACACTGGGAAGCCTATTGTTGTCATTGCAATGCTGATGCCACTTTGGGTTAAACATTGCATTCCAAGCATATGTCTTCAACTGATCTTGCACTTGAGCAGGAGAATAGGCATGTACAGAGCTTTTTTTTTTTTTTCAGAAGATACTGTTGATCTAGGATCCACGCACCAGTTCCTACTTGTGTCCACCATAGGTAAGAGACCTCCCCGCTGCTCTGTGAGCTGTTAGCAGAGCAGAATTCCAAACTCAAAGATAAAAGTGGCYGGGGCTCTATGCACATGGGTGACTTCATTTCCTACATTTCTTACTTCTGAAATGAGGCTAGATGTCTCTTGCCAGTCAGCACACGTAGGGTGAGGTACCAACCTGACTTTAGGGATGGTAAGGTATTTTTAGTATATCTTTCTTCAACTTGCATATAATTAAGTTTTGTTTCTTCCTATCTGATTAAACACTATATTAGAACAAACTTTTACTTAATTGAGTTAGGGGAAAGTATGCCAGTATTTGTTGTGTGGCTCAGCTCAATAGAATACCAGTTTTAAGGAGGATAGATAGAAAATGGGGAGGGAAATGAAGCATTAGCAGTATAGATCCTAAACTTTTTTCAAACCTTACAATACAGTACATATTGCACTTTCAAGATATTGGAACACAGCTTGGTCAAAACCAGTACCTGTAGTGAGCATTAAACAAAACCTCCTCAATCCTTCTCACCTTTCCTGTTTCTAAAACATTTTTTTAGCTTTGTCAGGGACTTCACAGATCTGTAGCTAAATCCAGAACACCTTGCATGCCACTGCAGGTTGCCTTCATAGGGAGATTATCTCTGGTGCATCACCCCTGGAATGTCATCAGTACTTGGGTTTTCTGTGTTTGTGCTGCACGGTTAGCTGGCCAGGGTGCAACCATGGTGCTCAGCCCTCCACCTGCACTGATGCCTTCAGAACCAGGGGCTTTGCTKTTCCCCAAGGAAAGGCAGCACAAAGACCTGTGGGATATTTCCAATGCACAAAGTCCTTTTTACCATAGCACCAGCCTGCTTTTAGGAAGAGTATTTAGACACAATTATTTAAAACCTCTGAAGGTTATGATTTGTAATGGACTGAGCAACTGCAAAGCTATTTGCCATGCTCGAAAAAGAAAGATTAGAGGAAAAATATGTAGGGAAGATGAAGGGAAGTGTTATAAGTGTGCTGGAAACTTTGGGGATGCAAAATTAAGTAGATGTTACAGCCAAATTGACACAGGATTTTGAGCCTGTCTCTTAAAATGAAAGAACAATCTCTTGCATCTAGGAGAAACTTCAGATAAGTTAAAGATGTGTGGTAATAGTCAAAGTATGATGAAGGTAAGGATCAACTCCAACAGCATCTCAAGATAGAGAGGAGCCAAATTATGCTCAAGAAAAGTAGGAGAAGAAAAGCCCCTCTGCAAGACCTCAGGTAAAGAGAAGACAGAGTAGGGATTTTATTTTGTTGTTTTTAGCTTGTTGTCACACCTGGTATAGAGAAAAAAATCCTAACAGAGGTGTCCTATTTCTTTAAACAAACAAAATCTCTTTGGCTCACACACCAACCTGTTCCCCAGCCAAAACTTGCACACATAAGCATCTAATTATAGGACACCAAAACCTATATTTAGGTGTCTAAAAACAAGTGACCTGGATTTGAAAGCCGGTTCCAAAGGAAACTTCTTTAACTCTATAGAGAAGTCAATCAGTGCTGTAACTTAAAGCCACTGAAAATTAGGCCACCCTGCAGGACACAAGGCATTTATCTTGCCAGTAGTATGCCTTGTTTGGGAAAAGGAGGCAAAAGGGAGGACAATGGCAAAAATTAGTGTATATATTTTTCTCTCCTTTCTTATTGTCTCCTCTCTTTCCATCTCTGGTCTGCCATCTCAGACACTGTAGGTGTTTCTTGGTAAGAGAAATATGGCCTCAAACTAGCAGTTGCAGTTTTTCAACTTTTGCTCTTCAATTCTTAGCAAAACCCATCACACCTACCATATGTGCCCACAAATATGAATTTGACAGTRTGATGTCTTAGTATGGCACTGTTCAAACTTTCTTTTTCTTACAAAATCTAGTTTTAAGACCTTACAACGGGGAATCTTGGTTAGCCTGAAGKCCTGGACTTTCCATTAAGGTGTGACAGAAATATCTCTAGAACCAAGATTATAGAAGGAGCAAAAAGGACAAGTAAGATCATGCAGTTTGCTCTATGCTTATTGYTTTCTTTCAGTCTGGATTAGACAATTCAGTGATTTCCCGCCCTTACCAGTATTCAAAGACAGGCTAGGAAACAGTTTGAAAATGTAATGAATGCATTTTCTAGTATCTTGTCTTATGGGTAGGGTCTGAGGTCAGAAATTAGCAGATGTGATTTCTTCCTGAATTGCTGCATACCTCAGAGCAAGGGGTCCTGATTCTTTCCTAAGCAGGATTAAAGAAAACAAATCTCCTTTCCTCCCTCCTTTCTGTTGTTCAGTTTGTTCCAAGAATAGCAAAAGAGAATACATACAGGATTCAGGAGAACGGTGAGGAAGAGTTCACCTCCTTGGATACTTTTGTCCAGTTCCTGAGGACCCCCAGGGTATTCCTTGTAAAAAATTGTATGAGTGAAAAGGCCACAGGTCTGTCGAGGCAGCACCTGAGAACAAAGTAAGAGTGCCATTGTGACATGAACTGATTTCTGAAAACTTACATTCATCCTAATCCCTCCAGCAACTCAAAAAACCCGACCTCCAGCCCTTCCTCTAACTCTCTGTTCTGGTTTGTTTATGGACTCTCGTGCTTTCTCTGCTCTCCGTGTAAGCAAATGCAATTGTGCAGATGTGAAATTCCAGATGCCARCTGAAAAGCTGCAACGCAGATGTGTCCTAAGCTTTCATCCAGACTGGTTTATTCATCTCATACAGTAAGAATTAAAGGTTTGTTTTGTGGCTTTGGGAAGCGGGAAGAGAGAAGGAGGAGGGGGAAAAAAATCTAAACCTCTCTTTCTTTAGCAAGGTTAGTTTATTAAAAGATAAATAGTGCTTCTTGGCCATCTTCACTATCTCGGGCAATTAATCTTGTTGTTCTTGAGATACCGAACACAATTTGTATTCAAGGCTGCAGACCCTAAAAGAACTGTTGCTTCAAACCTCTTCTGTCCTGAAAATCAAACTTAACTCCTCGTTCCTGCTGTTGAAATACACACAGGCGCTGTCAGGATACTTGCAGGAGACTCACCCAAGGTCAGATCTGTGTCCCACCATAAATCAGGAGATTAGGTGCCAGAATTCCACAAGCTAGCACATCTGGGAAAATACACTTAACTAAAACATCTTGTTCTTAAATATATATTGGCTTTTTTCTAATTAAAGGGCACTGAAGCAGTAAGTAAGAAAACTATTAGGGCTTAGGGATACTGCCTAATAAATGTCTGAGTATAATTCACCTGGGGGAGACCCTTGGCTTCCCACCAATCACTGTTTTATTCTTTTTAAACTCAGTTTAATCAAGAATAATAAATTGTATTTGGCATACATCTTAATACTTGTGTAAATGTACTGCAGTCTAATACAATAGTAACTGGACTGTGTACTGTAACTTAGTAATTTTGATTAAGGCATATGGCTTTTGTCTTGTTGGGGGGATGAAAACATTGGTTTCATATGGATATGTAATATTCATCTGAGACTTTTGTATCTATCTCAAGACCTGGCTTCAAAAAATTTTTGAAGTATGTTATGCATAGCTTTTTTGTAATTGCCTTTCACCCATCTCTGTGGTCAGCTCCATTATTCATATGTGTGCTTTTTTCTTTTTTTTTCCTCTTCCTCTAAGCTGCAATATAGGACTGAAGTTCTCTGCTAAGAGAGCCCAAGATTTTGTGTGTTTCTCCGGTTGACTTGTAGATGAAATCTATATGCAAAGGAGGTTTATCTCATAACCAAATATACAGCCAAATATACAGGCTGAAACAGGCTCATGTCCAGTCCCTGGCTATGGGAGTTTCAGAAGTGTGTCTCAGAAACAAAACTTGGCCTGGGAGAAGTGTCATATTTGCTAGAGGAGATTASTTACACCCACTGGAAAGATGAACAGGTGTATTTCTAATCCTTTTATGCATAAAGATGAACCTGACCTTGAAATATAGGTCTTAGGTAGTTTAATGAATTTTAAAATATGCATTTATAACTAAGTTGATAGTTGATTAGACTAGAAGTACATTGAGTTTGAGCTCTACATTTGCAGTTGCCAAAGTCTTTGATATTTTTTTTTGGCTGCAAAACAAATATGCTCTTTTGGCATCCTTACAAACCCTCCATCACAGAATTTTAATGATCGCTCTAAAACTTGAAGCGTTTGGTTAAAAATAGCCTCCTTCTGAGTCACTTAAAGTAATATTGCTATGAAGCATGAAGTGCAGTGTACCATGATGCCATTGTGGATGAAGCCCCGTCTGTACCGTGCGGGCTTCAGGTGCGGGTACTCTTCCGTGCTGGTCACGCGGATGTCCCACACCTTCTTCCAGGCCTCGTAGAGCTGCATGTGGACCGGGTAGACTCCCGAGTGGTGCGGAGCCACCGCGTACCCCATGTCTGTCGGTATCCCGTGATCCTGCAGCACAGCAAAGGGAGCAATGGATTTAGAAGAAAAAGAACATGGAATCATTTAAAGGGCTTTTATTCCTTCTACGGACCCCCGGGTTTGAGAAGATGTTGTCCTTGRACAGTCTTGTTTCTATTTGTATGTAACGCATGCTAAACGTTAGAGATGAGGGAAGCTGAGGTTATGACTTGATAACCTGCAGAGTGRTAAATATTCCTCTTGGATTATATTGTGGTGGTGGTGTTCCATTGAGTAGTTTTATCTACCATTCACTACATATTGTGTAATCTAAAAAGCTATTTTTTAAGTTTTCAAACAGCATTAGAGCAGTAAGCAGAAAAATGTTGCTCTGAGATCTGTGGTTTATCTTTTCATTRTGAAACTAAGAGCAGAATTCCTTTCTGCTCATTTCTTCTCCATAGCTTCCAAAGCTAGTTGTGTTTTCCCACAGCATGAGGATAGTAAGAAAAATGGACTCTGACAGACCTGTTTTCCATTTAATAAATATGTCTTTAGTTCATCTTCTGTGATGAAATATGTATACTCATGTACAAAATCTGTACATTATCTTAAAAAATCTTCTGRTTGAACAATGATGTGGTTATCTGTAGACAGAAGGAATTAAGAAAAAAGCTTAAATGTGAGTTTGCTGATCTCCTATGCATGTTCCTTTTATTCCTAAAGCTTTCCTGTCATTATTCTGTTTCTAATCTCTCTGGTTTCTGTTTAATGTGGGTTGTATGAAAACCTCATCTGATGATGAGCTCCAATAACCACATCTCTAGAAAAAAATACTGAGAGTGCAAATTATTTGAAGCACCAACTATACATGAGAAAATAAGGTAATTAGCTTCATTTGTCTAAGTAAATAGTCAAAATGTATCCCTTTTTTTTGCCAGCTATAGACAGCAAAATAACAGCTGTATTCTGCTTTTCCTCCTTTTTGCTGGGATTTACTTCCTGCAGGCATCGCAAGGGCCTCTCTGAACTCTGCCACCACATCTGTTTTCAGTGTCAATATGGTTTTGCTGAATCCCTTCCTCTATTACGGGTACAGACAGAATTGGGTTTATTCCCTGTATCATGTTATGCCCAATGATTGATTGGTGCTTGGGGCACAAGTTGGGCTGGGGCTTCTTCCAAATATTCCTGACTAGCAAAGCCCTTGTGGTGATCGGGCCAGGTTCCTTGGCTGAAGCCCTTAACCTTTGAAAGCATCACCTCATTTTCTCTGCCTTACAGCTCCCTTACAACACTTGCTTCTGCCAAAAGAGCTGCTGATGCTTGGAACACATTAGCCATTTTCTGTTCATATATAATTGATATTCAGAGGGAAATGGCTAAAATGCGAGCTTGTAATTTTTGTCCTTCCTGCCCACATTATCTAATAACTGTTGATTACTTTAATTCTGGGAGCAGCAGGTTCTGCCGGGCATCTTCAAGCACTTAACTTTGCATAGACAATTTTTTTCATTGACAAGAATAAGTTAAACCTATGGGGAGCAATTGTTCTTATATCACATAATGCAGCTGCTTAAAATTATCTGTTTCTTATTAGTAAAGACCTTGGATTCCTGGCTGATCTTGAAAAGGAGAAAGCCAAACCCACTCCTGTGAAAATTTACTGAGTACAAATGCTTTTTCTGCTTATTAATGTTGTCACCTACCTGAAAGGCATGAGTCTTTTAGGGGTGAAATTATGAAGAGCTAGGTAAAAAGAGATGTCAAATCATTCTTTGCTCTAACTTTTCTGTGAGCATGTACAGAAGAAAAAAAATACATGAAAGGACTTGTGAAATACTTGGACTTTTACTAATAGGGGAGAAGCATCTGACTTCGAATAATACTCTGAGCAGGCTGTGATGCTCACASTGCTCAATGTGTTGTAATACTTTGCATGTATAGACATTCATCAAATGCAGTATAAAGTAAGTGTCTTGAGACCTGGCTAATGAACATTGCYCTGAGTGATGTGTCCAGAAGGAGGCATGAGGTGAACACACGCGAAATCCCATTTTTCTGCTGTTATTTGCTGCTGGTATTGCCATAGCAGCAGAATGGTGAAATGGTAATCTACCATTCACAAATGAAAAAAGGCAATGTTTGGTATGTTCGCAATAAAGTCTAATTAGCTTCTGAATACCAAGTGCTTGCTACATAGTTCCTTGCCTAAATACAGATCAATTGCTCACATACCCAACATAATTTTTTAGGAAGAAACAGCAACTACATATAATCAGATTTTCTTTGGCCAGTTTCATGTTCAATTTACTGGAGTAAATTAAATATCATATGACCTCTTTTAACAATTTCTGTTGCTCTGGGTTTTTTCCTCTTACATTTTCTTGGAATTTAATATAGAATTGGGAACCAATGTACTAAAGGAGGAGCATATGTCTTAGTTCAAGATGACTTACTGCAAACTGTTAGACAACATAGGAGATTCCTGGGTGAATTATGTTCTATATATTCTAACAGACAACCTATTACAAAATTCCACTAAGTTATTTTTACATTTGAACCTTTTGTTGATATTTTCATTTCAAAATATGTTTAAAAACAAGTTTTGGGCATGTGTGTGCATACATAAAACTTCTGGAATCTTATGGTGCCAAGAGCATTGTTCTCTTGCACTCCAGCTGGGATCCTAGAGCTATTAATGCTGGGCAGGTTAATATTGCTTTCCTATTTCACTTGTACATTATTCCAATTCTAATTTAAATGGCCATGTAAGCTGAAGCTGTACTAAGGTCTGGGCTGGACATTGCTCAGTAATGCCTTTAATTGGACATTAAAAGAGAATTGCTGTTGCAGCCTGAGACAGGAGGATGACTAAAACAGTTCTTGTGGGTTTTCATCAGAAATGACTATATACTATCCATGACTGCCTTTAAAATATAAGGAAGAAGTATATTTAGTAGTTGAAAAGAATAGACTGATTTATGGACTTAAAGTATTAATAAGTAAAACTTAAAATCAAGTAGGTAATGATTGAGAAACAGAAAGTTCTATATTAATATTTCACTATCAAAGATGAAAACAGTATAAAAACTGCTATAAAAAGAATTAGCATTATCCATTATTAGAGTAAGAAATACAAAACTAGCTAAAACACTAGTGTGTGAGTACTTATTAAAAATAAAACTGGACTTATGTGAAGCTTTGGAAATTGTCTAGAAGTCCTCCCTGTTCATTCACAAGAGTTCACCTCTCTATCTTGGCGCCTGGCTGTTTTGCTGGAAGTCCAGGGCAGCAGAAGAGAAATGCAGCTGTGCTGTTCTTCCCTCTCCCTGCTCCAGAAGCTGCTGTGTCTTTATTCTTTCCTGGTAGGCTCAGTTTTGTGAGAAGATATTTCTTTGCATTCATAGAGATAACATGAATATTTTGGAGGTATAAAAAGTAAAGGCTTGGAAGATGATACCAATAGCCAGTGATTAATCTGTAGAAAGCTTTCCAAGAACAGTTCCACAGCCTCAGAAGAAAATGGAGATCATTTTGTAGGATCTACCTTTCTCTCTTGTACTGATATTTTAACAACTTATAAGTTAGCAAAGGGGATGAATACTTGCTTCTAATTTGCAAACTGCATGGTGCTGCTGTCCCAGCTCCTAGGTGGGAGCCTGGTGTCCACASGCAGAGCCCATGAGAGCCAGAGTGTGTTTCTAAAGCAAATTGCTCCAGGCATCCCTATACTTTCACTTGCATGTACCATTACTGAAGTGCTGCAAGGCAGAGGCCATCTGAGGAAGCTGCTTCTCTCTCACTTATCAGCTTTGTTCAGCAAGCGAAGACTTGCTTGGAACTCCTGACCTCTTTTGACCTTCCTGTTTGAACAGAAGTGAACCTTGAGACAAACTTATTGGCCATGAGTCGGCGTGTGCAATGTGTATAAATTCTGCATTTACAGAAAATATCTCTGCAAAGGTATGACAACTGTGCAGAGTAAGCAGTGCTTTCCAGTAGCAGGCGTGTTCTCATTCCTGCTGCAGTTTTATTGTGAGCAGATGTTGGAAATTTGAATAAAAACTGGAGTGTTTGGAAACTGGGTATTTATATTAGCAGGATGTTATCTGACAGACAAACACAGTTTTTATTCRAACCAAATATTACATATCCTTCTGAAAACAACAGAAGGAAGAAGATTAAACAAAAATGAAATACAACTGTGTTATAACAGAACCGATGTTCTGGATTTTTAAAGTTCACTTATTTGTCTCATAGAAGCATCTAGTATTGGCTATTATCACAGAATGATAAATGATGCAGCCTTTTATTTAGTAAACTTGGTTTCTTCAATAGGTCTTTTCACATAGTCAAATTGCAGGAATCTCCTTGATGTTAAGATTCAACTAAATGAAAAAGTTAACCCTGCAGCTGCAGATAAGCTTGCTGAACTTCTTGACTTTGCTGCACAGAAGTTGATAGAGATGTCACTTTGTAGTATTAAAGAATTACATAAGCTTTGCATACTTCCAGTGCTAGGATATATTTCTAATACTGCTGCAGATGAGTGAGATTTCCTGTAAGAGATTATATTTTATTCTGTCTAATATACTTTGTAAAATTTCCTTTATTAGATAAATGAATTTTCTTGCTCAATGGTGTCCAAAAACTGTTGTGTTCTAAACTTTACAGACACTTTGTTAGAGGTATAAGTTGCTGGGCAGCGTTTTGGGGAATGTATTTGAGACTTATTTAATTTCTTAAGTTTAAAAACTACCTAGACAAGACAGTTCAATAAATGGAGCTGGTGATTGTCAGGAGATAGGGTTTGCATAACATAAAGCTAATGTTTCAAATTAAATGGAAGGGAATGATGATTTTGAGTGACTGCAGCTGTCATAAATTATCTACAGGTGATGGCATAGCAGAGCACTACCTGTAAGAGTACAGAGATGAAYGTGAAGCTTATATGGAATGAAACAACATGTCACACAAACTGATTTGTTCCATGGGCTTGTCACAAGGTTAAGCCCCATGTTCTCCTGAGGTGGACAGAAAGCACTAGTGAAGAGGAAATATTTARGAAGAACCTTAAAAGTTAGGTGGAGTAAGCCTCATCCTGTCTGTGCAGTAGAATATTGTTCTCCTGTGTACACAGAGCACTTACAGATCTCCTTTAGTGGCWGTCTCTAATGGGCATCTCCTTCCGAATGTTAACTATGAATATTAGTAATGGGACAAATTAGACTTGTTTTTTCATTGTATGTGGACACTGCATTTGATATATGGTCACTGGTGTTTGGTTTTGGTATTTAATTGGTTTATTAAAAAGCTCATGGTTTCTCTGTGGTCTGAGTGGTTGGAAATTTTTAGGTGCAAGAAGTACTAATGTGACTCTAGCTGCCTTACAGGAAATGGAAAACTGAACTTTACTAGACAGGGAGTTAGAATCRATTGGTTTTGTAAATGTGTTTTTCCTCCTGCTTTTCAGATCATAGCTGCCCTTTTTACTGGCAATGGTAACTTTTGCCCTATCTCTACTGTACTTTGTGCATGTGTGCTAACAAATGAGCACAGAAGATAAACTACTGAGCAAGTAAATTAAGGAGCCAAGAGTAATAAGCTTTGGGTAGAATATATTCTACTTGTGTAAGTGCCTTTGAAGTGAGTGCTTGGCAGGCCATTGGGCAGCAAGGGCTGTAGAAATAAGCTGCTGAGAGCAGTATCCTTCAGATATGTGGGGATGAGGATTTGCTTAGGCAAACCTTCCCACTACATCTGGAGCAGCGGGGGAACAAGARGTGTGAACCATGCCAGGAAACACTTCTCTTGCCAACCAGACTACGCATGGCCGAAATGATAAACAACTTAGAGCCACATTCAAAAAGAAAATTAAAAAAAAAATGAAGTGTTCTTATTAAAGGCTGTCTCCTTATTCATGAGCAGCTCACATCTAAGGTAATCTTTTAGAGATTGTTGAATTAACTGAGTCCCAGGTCTGCAGAGGCGTGCAGCTATCTGCTCTGAATTCAAGGCAATTAGATCTATACTTAGGAGTCAGTTGCACATATACAAAATAGTGCAGACTTGTAATGGATTTATACCTATATTTTGATACTTCTGTTTGAGATGGGCTGCAGTCTTAACCCTCCATTTGATAGTCATATCAATACAAAACAGAATGGGTATTTCAAACCAGTACCTGGTTGTAGGCACCTTGTATTTCTTGCCTGTATTCACCAGACAGTACATCTAAGTTCCTACAGGCAGATGATTATACATACAGTAAAAACACAAGTGCCAATAAAAATCATGCTTACATATGTTTGTAGCTTCATGCTAATTATCTATGAAATCTCTTATGTTGCTAATGTATTAACTGGTGTTATTGAGCTAGATTTAATCCCTAGTAGTCAGCAGAATGTTTTTACTAGGATTTTTTTCTGAAATGAGCAATTTTGCTTCTGAGCCTGACATTTGCTTGAATGGAGAACTTTCTGTTCTTTGTGTTTTCAACTTGGCCTGTAAAGTCTTGGTTTCCTCGTGTGCTGAAGGAGAGGGTAGTGAACAGCACTTCTTTCTTTTTTCAAAAAAGCTAAAGCTAATGCCAGGACTAGCAGCAGGCTTCAATGAGAAATTTTGCTTGCTGGTGGTCTTGCTGTATACCTTCAGGTATAATGATTTCCCCCTCTCGTCTTGAGACCATTACCCTCCTATTCATACTTTTTGTGTCAGTTAATGCTCTATTTCCCTGATTATAATACTCAATCATGTAAAGGAAATCTGCTTGATGTCACACATTTATTATTCTGGTTGTCTAAGTTAAATTTAGATCCATACTGTGATGTAAAAATACTGAAAAGGGATTTTCTTTGACAGAGTAATAAAATGTGGATATGGAGCAGGGATTTACCTTCCCCCGAAGACCTCATGTAGGGAGGAGAGAGCAGGGGAGGAGCACACAAGAGTACTCTAAAGTTATGGCTGGGACCTCGCTGTTTAAGTATCAGGAAGGTTGTCATAGCGGGAAGATAAATTTCTCCCCCAGAGAAGTTTTCATGGGAAACCTTTGGAAAAGAAGTGTTCTCATAAGTAAATTGTACAGCTAGCACGGATTCAAGGTTGGGAGGTCAGTACAACCCCTGTCCAAATGTTAGCAGGAAATAAAGCTATAATAACATCAGCCTTCCACTGACATTCTCTCCTTATTTATAGGCACCCTACAGAGTCCATCATTCAGTGGGGGTGATTATAGAGAGATGGCTTTATCTTGCTATATGTGAAACTGCAAACAGGTTCTATTATAAGCCCCATTTTGGGGCTACCTTACAGCTTTTCTCCTAGAGGTGGTTTTATCTAAGAGATGTCAGGATTGCTGAAAATACTATGATGACTTTCCACACAGGCTTAAAGATGAACAAGCTTTTTAGAGTTGGAGATTATTTTAAAATTACTTTGGTGTTTAAGATCTCAGCTATACTGAATGCTCATTTGGGTCTATTGGGCCTTTCTTTGAGGCAGCTTACCCAGTTATTCACAAGTCAAGAATAGACCATGGCAGGAATAAAGTAAAGCTGCTGGTAAAACAGTGGAACTGTGGAAGAGGAAAAAATTATCTAAAATGCCTCTGTACTAATAAGTTACCAAATAGGAACCTTGGAAGGCAGCAAGCCTATAAAGAAATGTAAACAGTTAAGCTGATTTCATTTGCTTTAGAGTTTGTTGAGAAAGTGTTCATAAACAAGAGAATAAATTCCTCGGCTGCTTGTTCAGTCATCTGCCTCTGGCAGTTCCTGGGAGGACCTGGTGGAGAGAGGGGAGAACCTCATATTTCCCAACTATGACCTGCCTAGTTTTGCATTCCTTGAGCAGCAAAGTCGTGCCATGACACTCTCCTCTCCAGAGTGACATTGGTTGCTTCATATTTCTGTGCTTCACCATAGACCCCATAGTGTGTTTTTCAAACAGCATTTTTAGACTTCCTATTTCTTTGTGCTAACTAAATACAATTACTCTGGGCTTGAAATGTCTTTCAGATTTCTTTAGAGTGCAGGTATGCTGAGCTCTGAGGATAGATCTTGTAAATTAACAATACAGAAAGCAAAAATCAAACATCAATAAATATCAGCTAGGTTAGCTATTAGGTCTTAAAGCATTGTGAAATCCAGAAGCTTTGTTTCTCATTTACCTCATTAGGTCCAAGAGTTTTCTTACAAAATCTACGCAGCACTAATGTTTGATTCAGACATTCTCTATCGCTTACAAAGATGTTTGAACTGAACTTTGGGACGCTGATAACCTTCCTATCATTTTCTGAGAGCTCAAAATGTCTGCTGATGCCTTCAGACTTCATTACTTCTCATCCCTATGCTTTTGCAATAGAAGAATGTAGAGTAAGGAAGTAATGAGACGAGTCTTTCTGTCTGGGAAGTCTGTGTCAGTGAAAAAGGCTGTGACAAAACYCAGCCCAAGTTCAGAAGTGTCCCAAAAAGCCCTTTTGGGCCTCAACTTCCACTCTTGGCTTCTCACTTGTTTGATACCTGTATAAATAATAAAGATATATAAAAATAGTCTGGAAAGCAGAGAGATACAAAAAAGCATCCTTATGAACCTTTGTGTCCTTATGAGCCTTTTGGATAGCATACAACTTGTGGCAACTTACCAGTGCGAACTCTTTGTTGAGGATCATCTGCTCCACCAGGGATGACTCATTATGGAAGAGGTGAGGCTGCATGTGACTCCACATATGGGGAAACCACCAAAACTCATCAACTGACTTCAACAACAAATCATCACCCTTGTCTTCCTCTTCTGTGCCTGCAAGAGCAAAAAAAAAAAAAAAAAAAAAAAAAAAATTAAAGATAAGTTAAAAAGAGGCTGCCACAAAACCTGATGTCCTTCGCTTCATTCTTTCTCACCGCTGAAGACACACCCTAGCACATGGCAAAAGAAGTGACATTGTGAATGGTGGATGCCTCTCTGTTCCTGGTATGGTATTAATAGCCAGTAATTCTAGTAAGGCTGAGACTGCAAGGTCTGTCTGCTGTTTCCAGATATATTCGGAGGCTGAGGCTGCTCACAAAAGCRGAGGCCAAATGGACTTGTACCCACCTGGTTTGGTATGTTGTGATCCTGCACAGCACTAGCTGGTCAGGGTGGCAGCACAGAAACCTCCGTGCTCAGACTCTTACCAAAACCAGCATTCACTTGCAGCCACATTAGCTGCTTTGAGTTGAAATCTGTTAATTTCTGCTAAAGTACAAAGAAAGTTTGCAGTACTTTCTAAGTTTATCTGCAGGGGGAAAAAAAAGCAACTTTAAGGGTATAGGATTTTCAAGAGTGTTTTCTATGGTTCAATATTCCATTTGCCAAGTATAGTCTTTAAGTGGAAGGAATAAATACCTCTGTTAGTGAGGAGTATTTGCTTCAGGCAGAAGCAAGCAAGAAGTGGTTATAACAGCAAAAATCCATCTGAGAAATGATACAAGACTGCTTCCAACATCTGCAGACATATGTTTCTAGTACTTTTTTTAAATAGGAAAGGCAAAGTTAACATTTCAATAACTTCATCCTCAAATTACTGAACAACATTGAGTTTATTGGCAGCGCTCCTTGTTTCTTCATCATTTCAAGTACTTTTATTCAGCTTGAGTTGAAGAAATGTTTGTCAAAAACTGTCTGTTGATGCAAACACAGATAACTTTTTTTTATGAGCCTTTCAGTGTTTTGCAAAGCTCCATGGAAGAAAATGCTCTGTGGACATCACTCTTTACTTCCCTAGCATGAAGGAGGAACATGTAGATGTGGCTGTTCATATGCACTTCAGCTCTTTGTTTTTCCTTTCTGCAGTGTTGTGAAGAACACTACTGCACAGTGAGAGCATTACCTTGAAACTTCCTCCTAGCTCCAGCAAATCAATTGACTCTGTTCCTCTCCACAAGTTGGAAGAGCATGCAGTTGCCTCCAATATTGGGAATACCTCTGGGAAAATAGCACAGGCTCATTTGTTAGGTATTTTGTTGTTGAGAAGAAGTGATGATAGTTCTTTTGCATAATGGAGAAGAGATTTTCCTGAATCACTCTGGTGTCTGGTGAATGGCCATTCTCTTGTTTATTGGGGTACGAGGTGCATGTGCACCCATGCAGGCACGTGTATGTGCAAGAGAAACGTGATCAGAGAGGAGAGAAGCTTGATGTGAGCTTTCAAAATAGGACAAGAGGGAAAGGAGTGAGAATATGGGAAGTCAGTGAGGATCCCATTTGGTAGCCCTTAGGTAGAAAACTAAAAAGAGATGAAAAAAAGAAGAGGCTATTTGAGACTTACATGGAACTATGACCATTTGAGGTGAGATTTAGTTGAGGGAATAATTCAGTGTCTTATTAATGTTTGAAGTAGAATATGATTGTGTCTATCAAAAATATATTAATCATTTTTCTGCTAATATCTTTGTACCTTTAGGTAAAACTCATCGGACTGAACTTCTTCATTTTTAGTATAACGAAGATTAACACAAAGCACTTCCTGGTTTAGRAAAAAAAAGAGCTCATAATGGTAGAGCCACAGCAGAAATGCTTGAGGTTTCAAATTTGTCATTATTGTTGCTTTTAAGGATAACTTTCTTTACAAAATTCTTAACAGAAATTCATTCTGGTTCTATAAATTTTGAAATAAACATACTTTAAAAACTGGGAAATTTTTAATAGATCATTTGATAAATGTCCATGTCTTGGAAATATTCTTTTACTTAAACCCTTATTCAGAATACTGGAGACAAACTAAGGAATTTAAGTTTTTATTTCTTGAGCAGTCAGTATTATCTATGTGACTTTTCGTGTTCATTTTAATATGAGATCTGAAAATGTAATAGACACAATTGAAGATGAGCTTATATCTGCTGTGACATGCTGTGTGCATTTTGCACAGGGAGATAATTATTTAAAGATTGCTTATGCATAATCAATAAACTCTCTAAAGCCAGAACCATAACTTAGATATCTTTCAAGCTCAAAACTGAAACTAATTCTGAAGCTTATTATCCATAATCTTAGGACTTTTAATTGCACATTCTGAGAATATCTTACGTAGACCCATCGTAAGCAAATACAAAGTAAATGCTGATGCTAATAGCTACTTAGTCCAGTTTTTGCTAATAGCCTTACATTTACAGTGTATAGTATAACAGTGCTATAAAAAGGAATGGTGTTGGCATTAAGAAGGAGTAGTGAGACTGACAGACCCCTATTATAATTGCATGTAGACATACCAACAGAAATTGGTAYTTTTATTATGGGAGTCAGCAAAATCTTTTGATGAAAATATCTGTTTAATCTGCCAAGACATTCCCCTAGTGAACTCCCCTCCTGTAGTTTGAAAATGATCCAAGTTTTGGAAAGGAGAGCAAAACTGCATTAACAAAGTCGATAAGGCACAGCAGTTTCAGAGTGCTAATAAAGTATGTTGAATATCTGATATTAAAAGCCTCTCTGAGTAAAGAAGCCATATTTACAGTAATTAAAGAATACCTTTCCGCATGTTATTTATAATGAGTTGAAGTGTATAYTGCATGGAGAATACTCTGAAAGGTTTCCACTAAGCTAATGTGACAAAACACTCCCACCAACCTGTAAATGAAGTGCTTGCTTAAAAAGCCTGATGCATCACTGAGTGCAGACTCCAGCAGGTCCCTTAATGGAGGCAATGACATGCTCCAGCTCATTAAGTAGTTTGGTGCTATATTTATAAGCTTTGGGAGCCACGTGCACATTTTCCTGTTTCCTTTCTCTGCAGCAGTTGCAAATCTGAATTTGGTCAGTCATATCAAGTGGGTGAGGAAACCTGTAGGCTGGATAGGAATTGACTTTGCCACTGAGAAAAGTGGGTAGCATGTGGGGGCTGTTGGGGTTGATGAAGAGGAGTTGGGGGAGGTCGGATTTTGCAGGAAGCTGTTTGTTTTGTGCCAGTCACTATTCTAAATTATAGAGCTTATAATCATCTCTTTCCACGCCTCCTTTCCTCTTGGAATCATATTTCTGAGGTGAACATTGAAATGACTGATGCCAGCTCTACTGTGCATGGCCACAGTGAAGCAGCATCCTACTGCTGGCGTGACTCAGAGCCTTGGGCTGTTTTTGTTTGTTTTGCTATATTACATATATGTCCAATTAATCTCCCCAAGAAATAACTACACAGGCAGGTCAAGATGAAGTGTGCAGAATACTGAAGGTCTTTCTCCTGAGTTGCTCTCTAATCACAGATCTGCCACTGGCTTGTTAAATGGCTTCAGGCAAGTAATTCCTTCTCTCTGTACCTCATTCTTCTCAGACTCTACAGCCTACATCTTTAGTCTTTAAGGTTTTCTGGGCAGCAGCTGTTTCAAGTTATGTGCTTGCTCAAGGGGCAAATGACCTGGACTTAAATAGTGGTGCTTAAGAGCAACAGTGATAGACAGAAAGAATTTTGGTTGTTTTTTCTGTGCTTGTCCTTCAAATGTTTTTTTCTCTTTCAGGGATCTTATGTTCTCCCCTAACTAGTGGCGAAATGGTGAAGTGAAAGGTGGGTAAGGTCACCTGCTTGGAGATCCAGGACTGGCAAATGAGAAGTGACACAATACTATACCTAYACTGAGAGATGAAAAAACTTATTTTGCCTGCTTTTCCTTATCTACTTTGCTGCCCAGTGCAGAAGTATCACTCCTATAGTTCTCCTCTCAGATTTTTGCTGCTTTAATGATTCCTCATCCCCCTCAAAGAAGCTCCTTGGCTCGCTACATTGGTGCCCTTCAAGCAGCAGGTCCAGTGTGGAGGTTGAGCAGGCTGGAGGTGAGATTCCTGGAGGTGGTTTTAAGGGGTGAGGAGGAGGCAATGTTTGGGAAAGTAAAGGACAGCAGACATCTCTGCAGTAAGTTTCTAAATAGGCACTAGCCGTCAGGCAGCAGCAGACAGAAGCAGAAGAGGAGATGTAGCAGAAATGTTAGGGAGAAGGGGAGGAAAGAGAAAATTAAAGGGTGATTCATTGTGCTGGGAAGAAATGATGTAAAGAGAGAGGAGAGCATGCAGGAGATGTACAAGTACCTGATACTCCAGAAAAACTGTGTGTGTGTATTGCTTATTATTGTGTGCAGTACCTCAGGAGCATGATTTTAACATTCGTTTCATTGAAATTTCTTTTCATCCTGTTTTCCATTTTTCTTGGTGTAAGAATTCAGTTATAAATTGCATAATTCTCTTTATCACTCCCCCAACTCATAGACCACTGTCACAGGTTATCTTTATAATAATCTTGTGCATCCTCTTCAAATACTTCTGCCTGTTTAGAGGTAGTGACAGATTTTTCAGTTTTATATTTCATTATACRTATGGTATTGGCAAAATTTTACTTTTTCTGTGCTGTCCTGCATTTGCCAAACCACAAAGTTCCTAGGAAATAATTTGCTTTGTTCACATCTCTAAGATCTACCACTACTATATATCTTTCAGAAAAGCACCATTCTGCATATGACCTCATTCATAACATACCATTGCCCCAGGGGACAGCAAATGAGACCCTGAATGTCTAAAATAGTGGAGCACATATTTCCCATTGCTCCACTGAACCAAAGTATTACTTAAAAAAGGATATAAGTTAGGTTTAMAGTTAGGTTTAAAATCCTATCCCCTATTTAACTGTAACTACCTGATAGCATGAAGTTCCTTCTTACCTGTGTGGTAAAATTTTCCTGAAAATCCAAGGTTGAAGGTAAAATTTGCAACCTGAGTGCGCAGTAAATTTTGAGTCTCTAGTAAAGCCTGAAATAAATAAGAAATTAAACATGCATTTAGAAAAATAAATATAAAAATTTAGAATGCCTCACTTTAAATATTTTTGTTCTACTGAGGAGATACAAAAGGAAGCTTTGTTCAATGTTTCATGCTTTATTTGGGGTGTTTATTTTATTAGACTATTACTACATGTATTATTTGATCCTTCAGAATTTGATGGTTTAGTAATGCTGTTAATAGTATCTAAGTACCAAGCTATATGACAGTTCCATAGCTTGGACAAAGAGCCTGTGTGTTATTTGCATGATCTACGGCAGGAATTGCATCTGGCTCTTCAGGGCAGTAAAGTGCTAAATCACTAATTCAGTCATATTGTGGGTTATCAGTGAAGCTTACGAAAATGTTTTAAAACTCAAAATAAGGTTAGTCAGTATCCATATGTGAAAGCTTTGGAATTCTCTTACCTGCAACAACATTTTAAATTGTTTTGGTACCAAAAGCATGAATGAGAAAGTTACTTTTACCATAGGTCAAAATGGGATGTACATATTCCTCAGGTCTGAAATTRAACTTATTTAGTCTTTTTTCTCTATGGGAAAGACAAATCTAAACAAAATGGAGGGAAAGGATATTGCTTATACAAGAAATGAGTATAGACTTAGGACCCTTATCCCCTTTGTTTCACAAACATGTTTCTAGTTCACCCCAAAGAGAATACTGGCAAAAGAGAGAAGTGGTTCAGTGTCCATGAGTTGTCCAGGTTTATTCTTAAGATTTTAACTCTTAACTGCTCCTAAAGATAATCCTCTACACAGACTTCTGTCTGCTTTGAGCCATCGACCCATGTAAYAATGGACATGCTACCTATGTAAGGCAGCACATTTTTTCTTGATCTGGACCCTCTTGAGTGGTTTCTAAGTCATATTTTGTCCATTTTCCATGTCTCCATTATGTGGTTCTTGCAAACATTTTCCGTTATCTATTAATAGCATTTTTATTGATAAAATATACATGTTCTGCATTTCCAAGACAAATGAATGCAGTGATTTACTCATAGTCAGGCTTCAGCTAACGTTTCTTCTCTTTGGTAAGACTACGTTGGGTATGATCTTTAGTACTAATATCTCTTAACATTACAGAAAAATGGCGTTGCCATTTTGTTTAACCCACTGGTCTGAATTTTTCACAAGGTGAAATTGTTGTGACCATAAATCAAAAGCCAATTCAGCCAATTGTAAAGAATCGAAGAGGTAGAGTTAGAGAAATGGTGTTTGGAATGACAGTCTATGCAATCCCAGTCCATGCTGGAGCCAAACAAAACAGGCTGGTCTCTGAGGTTACATTTTGTCAGATATTTCTTTGCACTGAAGCAAGTTAGGAGGCATGGGCAGTGGTTTCAGAGTTACTGACCACCTGCTAAGTGCAACACTTATTTGGAAGCCGTGTGAAATGGGGCACAAGGCTCTTCTAAAGCTTCATCTTCCAGCAGTAACCTTCTAAGGAGGCATCATCTGAACGCTAGGCAGATTGCAGATGTAATGTAAGAGGTTGTCAGAAAGTATGCATCTGCCTTCATTTCTTTTATTATAACCTCTTATTGGGTTTTAAGGAAGACACAAAACAAAAATAGTTTTCAGCTGTAGCAGTCTCAAACAAATACATTGCTAAGGAAAAAGAATAATGTAGTTTAATGGCAGTTAATCATGAGCTTCAGAATTGAATGTTGATAGCACTATGGCTTCTAGCCTATCTTGCTAGACATTTAATAAGTTGGTTATATCACTTCTCTGACTTTTCCACATGTGGCACTACATTTACATAGTACATAAGTAAATGTTCATGAAAATATAAAACCCTGGAGAGCAACATGACTGTTAGCTAAGACAGAGGAAAATCCTCAGTTGACATAAATTTGCATTAAATTGGAACCATTAAAAAGTCATCAGCTTAGCGTCTGAGTCATTATATTTTAAAAAATAATTTTGCAAGTTATAGAGCACTTTATGTATGTTGAAAAAGACTGAAGGACTGAACTAAATCAACTTAGTTTTGGTTGGAAAGAACACTTTGAGAAATTATCACCTAAAATAYGAGAAACAAACATCATTATATCACTTGGTATTTTGTTTTTTCCCCATTTCCCTTGTGCTCATATCTCATTTAATAAGATCACAAAACCGGAGGGAATGGCAAGAAACATTCCATCCCAGTGAGGTCTCATTAAAACACAGAGCAAGGATTAAGATGTAAATCCTATAACCTGCAGCATGTCATGCATTTTTCTCTGTCTAAAGGGCAAATCTGTCACTCAAACAGGATTTGGCTTGGTCCTGAAGACTTGTTTTTGCTGAAATTTCCATATATGCATATTAACTAAAGTAATATACTGCAAAAATTCATTTTTGCTTCAAATAATTTTCGTACTGAAAGGATATTGTCAAATAAGCGAGCCTAAACATTTTATCACTGCTTCTCTGTATGTAGAGAGGAGATAATATTGTTCCCATCCTTAATTAAAACAAACAGTGTCTAGGTGGTTAGGGTCTGATTTCTCTATTTTTAATAAATTTATATTCAAACAAGATTGCTGCTGACTTAACTGCCTTCACAGGTAATCTTACCCTGTAAATAGGGAGGATGTTATTGTCTCCTGTAGGCAAAGCCCTTAATAGCCCAGCATGGAACTGTGTCGTGGCAGGAAGAAATCCATGAGGCTTCTATTGTCCCTTTTTGCCCGCATGGGCTAGTGAATCCCCACTTGTTTTTCACTCAGGAGCAAGTTTGCTTGCTGCCTGGGCAGAGATGATCTCTGGACTGGACTAGATGATCTCTAGAGCTCCCTTCCAACCTTGGACATTCTGTGATTCTGTGTGGTTCTGTGAGATGTGGCCCTCAGCATTGTCCTTAAGGACATGGGGATGGAGGACCTGCTGTTTTTCCTGTGATCCTGTGCAAGTCTTATGGGGAAGAAGGTTTTCATTTTCCTTCACCATCCCTTTCGCGTGCCAGCCCCCAGTGCCTGCTGCCACTGAGGGAGCAGGGCGCTCTGCTCTGCCTTTGCCTTAGGGTCTATGGGTCGACTTGGGTTGACTTTCATGGGCTCAGAGGAGCTGTAGGTGGAAGGAAATTCTGTGTGTGAAAATATCTTTAGAAATTGCTATTGAATGTGTAGAAATATTTTAAACCAATGGCTGGAAGTTACCATCACTTTAATTCTGGACAGCTAAATATACCAGGCTAAATAATTATCCTTTTCCAAGAAAAGAACCACAAAGCACATCTGCATATGGTCAGACAGGCACGTCTCAGTGCCAGGCTAAGCAAATTGTTTTTTTTAAGGTAATCCAAGCTGTTCTTTGAAATTAAAAAGGAACTTAATTGCTTAGAATCTCTCAAAATTCATGAGTTTAATTTTATTAATTCAATCTTTGCTTTGTCAATGAGGCTTTTCTCTATGACATCCACAAGATGCAGTTTCTCCTTTATATTGCATTTACATTCAGCAGTATTTTAGAGTAATCCATATAATTAGATCTGAAGTTGCCATGTCTTTATTCTTAATAATTGGTGCATCTATTAAGCAGAAATGATATTTTCTTACAACGTCCTCGTTAATTATAACTCATTTACATAATAAACTTTTTGGGGCAATTTCTGCAGTAACATTTCATGGCTAATAGGAAGCAATTTGCTTTCCTTTATTAAGTACATTAAAACTTCATGCCCCAGACATCATTGACTGTAAACATTTGATTCTGCTCAAATTTAATGCACCAAGGCATTTTGCTCTGCCATATTTGGTTTATTTATGTGCTGTGTTCTGGATTGTTAGCTGCTAATGAGACTTCAGCTCCTATTGCTCTAAGGCCTGAACACTAACCTCATTTTAATGAGTTCATTATTTGCTGCCTTCTGAATGGAAGACAACAAATTTTCCTTTTAATTAAAGGTCAAAACACCTCTGGCTAAGGAAAGTGGAGAGGTTATCAAATCCTTAGAGAAGTTAAAAGAATGACTTTTTCTTCTGATTTTTGATGCCAAGCATGGGCAGGATAGTCTAGGGGGAGAAGGTGTTTCTCTGGGGACTGAAACTCCAGATCTAAGCGAAAGGACAGCAACACGGAAACATGGTAGCTACTTTCCTAAGAGGCTGTAAAAAGCAAAAGTCAGATGAAGTAATTAAAGGGCTTTACTCCTAACTCAAAGGTCTGTGAGGATCAATACTTCTATTGGAGAACGAGCCCTTGTTTGCATGTGCAATGACTTATAGGGTGTRGAGAATGGATGACAGATTAATTGAGCCAGTAAAACGTAATCTCGTATTTCTTATTAGGGAAAGTGAGGCATGGGTGATGAACATTGCAGGCTGTTCCTAGTGACACAGGGGTGTATGTTGCTGTGTGAGTGTGTGTGTGTGTGTGCACATAAGGGTGACTGGTGAACCCTGTCTATGTAAACGTCTGGTAGAAACTTCAGGGAAACCAAAGCAAAGGAATGTGAATTAATATGTAGATTCTTATATGCTGTAGAGCATTTAGCATTTGCTCAYCTTTTTAAAGGCAGGCTACCTAAAGTCAGTTTATGAACCTCTTTATTTGAGAAGAAATTTGATGATAGAAAATAGTATTAGAGGTAGAAGTATTACTTGTGAAATACAGCACTAGTGCTCTGTCAGAAAAGCTTCTTAGCCTAGTTTGGGAGGAAAATTCTAGCATTTTGAAAACATAATCACTGTCACTTAGAATGATAACCTGATGACATTTCAGGAACCTTTCTCTTCCCAGAAGTTGCTGAATGTGCCTGAGAGTACCAGAAGTAGCCCAGGTTCTCCACAAGTTTTGAAAGTCACAACATTACTCCACCACAGTACATGAAGCCCTCTGGTTTCTTTCTAGGTTTTCTGGTCTCCCAGRCTCCTGGTTACATATTTGGCCTTCGGAACTCAGTACTTTGAGTGTGAATTTTGGAGAATGGCAAAAGCTCAAGAGCTTAGGTATGAGTCTCCATCTCCATGGAGGGAACCAATATGGGAGTGTCTCTGCTCATGTGCTCTCGCTGGGCAGCGCTGCCCAAGGAAATGAGAATCTAGGTTATGAAATGGCCCGTCCATGAGCACTGCATCACGTGGAGGACTGACAAGGCTATAGTTATGCACGTGGTTTAGAAAGAGAGGAAGGGAAGGAGGGTAAGTATTTTTGCTTTTCAGTGTATCTATAATTTGCTGTCATCTTGAATTATTTTATTTCCATGGTTTATCATTCCAGGAAGGACTTCTGTTGCAGAAGGATGTGCCGGTGTCTGGCATCTCAGGGCTACATGGCCAAGCTGGTGTTTGCCCCRTCGTGATCTGAGGGATGTGACTGAGAATCTTGTCAAAAATACACTAACCTTCCATTACTCAAAATCATAGTTCATTTACGAGTGGATCCTAGTGCTGAGTAGAGGCTGTTGCAGGTTTTTCTTCTCTGAAGATGTTTGTGTGTTTATATAAAACATATGCTTCCACTCTATGCATATTGCTGTTCTTTTGCATGTATAGTGTMTATATGCAGCTATATAAAATAGATAATAATTTACAGTAAGCCTTCCTATGTATATAATACGTGTACACAGCTTAAACAGTTTAGACTACAGCAGATTGCCCAGAGAGGCTGTGGATTCTCTGTCCTTTGAGATATTAGAAACAGACCTGGGCCCTGTGCAACCTGATCTAACTTTGAAGTTGCCTCTGCTTTGAGCAAGGACTTAGACTAGGCTACCTCCAGAAGTCCTTGCCAAGCTGAATTATTCTAAGATTTGATGAATATTTTTTTATTTCAAGACAATTTGCTAAGTACTCTCTTGTGTTTGAGGGATACCAACAAGGCTTTTTATGTATTCATTTATTGTTTTGCCTTTACATCTGCACTTGATGCTTTTGCAATTATATAGCCTTGAGGTTTGTTCCCAAGTGGTGGTCTCTGCAGCAATTTGCTGGTGGTCTGTGGAAAGTTAGATGACCATAATAGTACTAGTTTTGCTTTGATTTCCTGCTGCAAATTTGTATAAAAAGAAACCCTAAAAATACATTCAGTAATGCTTCTTTCCAGTATGAGCAGTTCTTGTTAGGATGTGACTTTATATTGCCTCTTCCTGCTCTATTTCTCTCCTTGAAATCTATGTTAAGAAAAAAAAAAATTGACACTATTTAGTCTTCAAAGCCATAGTAATCTTCATAGGATCAATACAAAATAGCTAACTATATTAGGCTATTGTGAAGTAGCTAGCCATTATTTTCTTGAAATTTGCAAAAAAGAATTCAAAATTGAATGACTGACCTAGCATCACTGGAAGGGTCCCTGCTAAATCAGGATGCGGGAGGCAGTCGTCTTTTGGGTCCAAAAAGACATGTGCTAAAGGGGGACAATCTCATCAGCTGAGCTGTCTCTGTCCTACCACASTGGTGACTTCATCACCTCAGTGAAGTCGAGTTACTTATTTCTGTATTTTGAGGTTTTCAGCACATTTCACATGATTATTAAACAATTTTTTAAAAATAGAAAATGTATTAACACTGTAGTGTAAAGATTATAAAGGATTTACATTATTGGCTTGCTGGCTAGATTTTGAAGGGTGTTTAGGGGTTAAAGTTATTCTTGAGTCCTTAATGAGATCTTTAAATTTCTCCTTCTTTTTTTATCCTAAGCCAGCAATGGTTTGAAGAGCTGTTAACCAGTCCTGAGATCAACAGCCAACTGTTGACCTTCACAGACTTGCGTTCCCTCTTGTATTCCCAGTTTTCGTTTCACATTGCATTAGACAAGCAATGCAAGTCCATGCACTGGCTGCAGACTACCTGCCACAACCAACCAGCTAGGCCAATACTGGTTGCCCTAAGCTTTGTATCATTTTTGGTTTTATCTTTTTGTACTTTTTCTGTGAGGCGCTATGCTAATGTATAGTGTTACATAAATAATTAATCTCTGATGATACTGAACACAGCCAGCTCTGTCTGCAGATCTATTTTTTATTATAGAGCTATTACTTGAGTCTGTTCAGCATTTCCCTTGAGTTAATCGTCTTAGTGTGAGGTCTGAGAGGATATGTGGGTTTATTTGAATAAAGAAGAAAAGTCATGTTTTGAGCTCGTATGTAATGTGTTTATTGCAAATAGAAGAGTTCATTTTTCCTTTATGAGCAGAATACTCAATTTATCAGRTCTACCTCTGCCGCTGTTTCATAACTCCCTCCCAAAGTCAGAAAGCTGTCAGTAGTCCAAATGCACATTACTCAGCACGGAGGGACGCATCTGTTCCTGTGAAGGTTTAGCTATGCTCAGCTGAGTGAGAAGAGTAAGGCACCAGCTTTACCAGCTACCCAAGACTAGCCGATTAACTCCAAGCACCGCTTGGGAGTTCTGGAAGAGACCTCTGCTTAAGTATTACAGGAGGGAGGATGCTGTGACAGTGGCACAAGAGTCTGAAGCAAGAGGGTACTTTGGCACACCCATGCATGCAGCAAACAGCCCCTACACTTCTTTATTCTTTGTGTAGGTGCTGGGCCYGCAGCTGAGCAGCCCAGGGGTGGCTGTGCAGTCAGCTGCCGAAGATGGTGATTGCTGCTCTCTGTAGCTGCTATCTGCACAGAAGATTTACAGCCTATTTGGGAAATCGCTGAGGGTCTTTAATATAAATCACTGCCACTCTGAAGGATCTTTTAGGGATGCTAACTAGCTCTGCTGGCAAAACTTGGGAAGGGTAAAGGCAGCTTGTGCACAAGAAGCAGTGGCAGGATGGGGCTGCTGTGCCACAAAGASCAGCCCTGTGCTCCTCAGGGCCCCCGGGCCACTGGTGCAGGCACCTCTTGCGCTTTCAGCAGTGTGGGAAAGGCTTTARGAGCTTATTTCTTATCTCTTCTTATTTTTCAGAAGCTTAAGAATTTTCAGCAAAATAAATTTCTTGGGGAAGCGTCTCTTCAGGCTTGTAATCAGGAGAAGGTGTCCTGCCAACTATAAAGTGGGGATTTTGGGTTCATTTTTTTAAGACTAACGTGATCTGGAAAGCTTAATCTAATTTAAATTGCTTTCCTTTCTTCTCCTAGCTCATCCGGGCCCATCCGTCCAAAAGAAGAACCATGGRAAGTATTTAGCTCTCTGAAGAAGACTGCAGCCAGGTACGCATTCCTAGCAAAGAYATGGCCTTGTTGACTTGTTTGGAATGGGGCAGCAACAGGAACACTGGCAACATCACCATGATGTGTTTGTCATGTGAACCAGATTTTAACAGCTGGGTTAACAGTTCAGCTTTCTTGGAAGGAACTGAAGAACCTACATAAAGTCCATCAATATTTCCTGCTGTTGTTGTTGTTGCAGACCACACCGGAAAACATAATGCTGAAAAGCCACTTTTTCCAACTATAATTCTTTCCTCATCTGTTCAGCTGCAAAAGGGTCACTGACTTTGAGCAGCATCAGTTAAAAGCTCCTCATCCAGGGACTAGCCAGAAAAGTGGGTGCAGCTGCAGATTTCTGTGTTGTTCCCTCCCCTCTCTGGGATGAGGGACCTGATGAACTGCACTTGGATCCGTGTCAGACTTTGCTCCCACACCCTAGCTAGGGCTTTGAGTGCACACCAGATCTTCGTGGTGGGAAGCTGCCTTTGCTAACCTGATTTCTTTTGCCCCTCATCTATGCCAAATGTGGTCTTCCTCCCATGTGAGAGCCGTGCTGCACTGCAGGGTACATGTGTGCCTGAATGGCTCCCTCTCCCAGACCCACATTCYCAGCCCCTTAGCGGGATGAAGGTTGTTTCTTTTTGCAGTCTGGGGAGCACCAGCTTTCTGCTGCTCCTTCCCCATATCAGAGGCTGCGTGCTCTCTAGAGAGTCAAGATCTCCCTACTGCCAGCTCCCATCCTCCCTTTGACCACAGACCAGTACAAAACCATGCAAAGGAAAGAGACCGTATTTCCCCATGCCCACATCAGTACGAGGTGGGTAGAGTTTGTCCATCYGTAACTCTGTTAGAATGAGAGCAGGAGAACACCCATCAAAGTTTAGAGCATGGTTCTGCCTCGCTTTGATCAATTGCACCAGATTTAGAAATACATACATATCAAACAGGAAACAATGTCAAAGCTTTAAAGGACCAACGGTAGGATTAAGAGTAAGCTCATCAAAAATTCATGTGCAACAGCATCTATTGCAGCAAAGTATCAGTGTCAGCCACTGAGCTGCATGTCACTAACAGTAAAACATAGAGATGARATTTATGATTTCCTTTTGTGTAATCCTTAAGAGATGCCAGAAAAGATCAAGGTCTCCCTTTCTTTGGCACAACACAAATACRTTGCCAAGGACAAATTACATTAACAACTGCATTTTTCTGTTAAGTGTATATGCTATCTTTCTTTCACTTGTTTCTTAGCTGTTCAGAACTGCTCCTTTAAACAAACAAACAAAAAAATGTACTGAGGATGAGTAATCATTTGTTGCGAATTATTTAAGATCTGGACTAATGGAAGCTACATTATTTGCTTTTTTAAAATTCTGGATTCTGATGTACAATGGTTTAATTGGAGTGATTTTTTTTGGCTCCTTTACTGCCCTTGGAAATAATTTACTGGGGTAACCTTGTCATAGAAACAAAAATACTTTGAAATACTCATCATAGACATTTATCTCAAGATTTTGAACTCCTACCAAGAGCCTCAAAATTGTACATTAAGTTACTGCTTAAAATCTAACTGATGTATATGTGACCACATTAAGACTTCTAGAACACACTCAATCAGAAAAGGAAGGTTGGCACAGAGGTGGTGCATTTGGGTCTGCCCTCCAATTTGCAGAACAGCCGTGTTTGTGCTGTGATGCATCAAGCCATGGCTTCCCTGAGGAAGGAGGCCTTCCCATGGCTAAACCAAGGGCTGGAAGGGGGTAACAAGCACCTACCTGGGAGGTATCTCTGGAATTTGTCATTTCTTGCCCCTTTGGAAGACTGCATGTTCCTATCCTTTCTGCATGAATTGCAAACCAGGGACCTAAACTCATGGCTTATGGTGTCAAGCTGTGGGTGCCCAAGCTGCAATGCATAAACCCTGGCAGTGTGTGGAGGTGCTCCCATGGGGTTTGGAGATGGGCAGCAGGGATCTCCCCTTCCCGGACTGATTTTGTCCATCATTGGGAGGAAGATAGGTCCTAAATAGGTTAAAAAAAAAAAAAAAGTTTGGGTGGGGATGTCTTTAAAGGTAGTGGAGTATTTCTCTAAAGAATTGCACGTAATATAGCTATAAGGTCTTCTCTGTGTTTCCTTCTAAAGATCTTGTAATGCCTCTATTTCACAGAAACCTCAAATTATAGTTAATCAGCATGTTAGTTTCATAGTTCCCCTTTTATCTGCAGTTGATAGCAATTAGACATCTGGCTGCAGACTGTAGGCTGTGCAACTGTGCTCGAGCCGCAATCCCTAGAACTGAGTTGACTTGCACACACTTGTGCCAACGCAGCATTTTGCGTTGTCCTCTAACGAGAGTCAGAATTGCAGAGCTGCTCGTAGTACTCTGCTTCCCTGCAGTGCTGCAGGGGCTTCGGGTTTCAGCTGGTTGGTTGTTCTGACTGTATTTCTCAAAGACTTGGCCATAAAGATGTGCATCAAGCAGCCTTAGCACTGATGCTCTTTCCGGCTTTGGAGATGTGTGATACTTCTCTAGAGGAGCTTAATGTTTTTGACCCGTCTTCCTTCTTCCATCATGCAGTGAGCTGTGAGTCACCAAAGTGTTTCATTTTGCTTGGTGACCATTTGAGGGTTACTGTAAAATATAAGGAAAGTGCAAAGGAAATCGTCTTGGTTTACACTGTTGCTCATGCTTTTTGCCAGGGTCCAGGCTTTTCTCACCACCTACATGTCCGAGTGGCTTTAAGTTTGGAGTAGAGGGAAATAATGTCTGTTTTTTTTATTTTGAGAGTGGGCTCAAAATCTTTCCAGACCCTAAAATCCTGAGGCTTAGATACCATTACATTCTTATCCTTCCCAGTAGTAAGCTGTACAGRGAAGGATGCCTGAAGATCCAAAGCAAGATGTCAAAGTCCATAGTCAGTTTTCTTCATCTTCCTTTTCTTTTTTCTCCAATGTATTGACACTATTCTGTTTAATTTTCTCTAATGGTAACATCAAAAGCCRTATATTTTCCAGTAAAATATAGGCAGATCAGCAAATGAGGCTGAAAAACTTAAGATGAACCATTTCAATGGGTTCAGTAGGATAATGTATCATAAAATCAAATTGTTTTAGGAAAATGCAGGAACAAATCTCTGTCAGCTGAGAGGCAGAGGAAAGGTCGCTGACTGTAGATGGTTGAAAAGCATCACCAGACCTTTCTAAAATGCAGGAACCTGTATCCAGAGCAAACCTGCAGTACTGCACTTAGATCAGTCGGGACTGGAGATTTGGAAAAAGTCTTGCTTTTATTGAGATTGTAGGGCAGTATCAGGTATTTGTCCAGAAGTATTAAGAWTTCTCCTCTAGTGACTGTTGGGGAAGAAAACCACTGCTATCAGTGAACTCTTCAATTTGGCAGATAAAGATAAAGGCAGATCCAGGGGCAGCGCAGCAGTCCAGGCTTCCTCTGCAGGTAGCAATAGGTGACATTTGATGCAGGAATTAGTGGATGGAATTCTGTGCCCTGCATTACTTGCGATGTCGTTCCGAATTATCCTAACGGTCCCCGCTGGCCTTCCTAGCCCAGCAGGATGTCGGTGCTCAGGAGAGCTGGCCCGTGGGGAGCGCRGCCGGCCGCAGCGGTGGCTCTTGTGGGGCCTCCAGCTGGGAGGGCCTTGAGCCCAACCCTGGAGCCGGGAGGTCTCATCTCAAAATCCTGCTGCTGGAGCGAAACGAGGATTTGGATGAATTTCCTAGTGTCTAATAGAGCTTACCCCTTCCTCGATACTGCTAAATCGTTCTTGACAGGGATGACTTATCCCCAGGGCTCCTAAACTGCTTCTGACAAGCAACTTTTTCTTTTTTTTCCTACTGGAATGCGCTGAGCTTTTCCAAGTGCCACACTTCAAAATATTTTCCATTGGAATGGTAAGCTCAAACTTTGAGCAAGCTCCCTATGCCTGCTCTTCTGGATTACATGGCAAGACTGCCATGCTATGCCATGAATACAGTGAATTATTCATCATAAAGCTTAAATACTTCTAGCAATGTTTTTTTGAACATGTTTATTGACCTCTTTAACTGTGCAAGTTTTCTTGTCACTGAAACAGGTCTGTATTTGAATGTGAAAATAAAATTATTGAGAAGTTTTGGTTCTTTTCCCCAACTTAGTGTTTGAGGGAGTGCTATGCTCATGGTATCTGAACTTTCCCAGGTAATGGGCTTTTAGGTCAGAAGTTCCCACTACACCCTAAAAGAAAGGAATGTTTTCCCAGCACAGTAACATCCAAAGAAAATAATACAATGAAAAATCAGTGTTGCTGAGATTTGTGATCCTCTCATAAATCCCACAATAATTGATATTTTGGCTTTCTATATTCTCACATATATGAGAATATCAGCATTCAATCTTTACGGTGAATTAAGTTTCCAGCACTTAGGAACAGGGAAGAAAGCTCACTAAAACACTATATTTTTACAGTACCACCTCAGAAACCAAAGGACTTTTTTTTATTATTTTAAAAATCTAACTATTTTAAAGCCATTCTCATGCATTGAGATGGCAGCCTAAAATTGGCATTACTGAGAAAGTTATCTTTTAATGCCAGTTGCTTTAATCACTATAGGTAGTACTTTTCTCTCTAAATATTCTCATTGTAAGCTGCACAGCTACTTGTCATGTAAAATATGAATCCATGCAACTTAGGATCATTAAACAGAGAAAAATATGTTCAACAAAATATCTACCTTTTAATTATAAGCATTACATTAGATTTCCACCCACTTGTGAAGTGAAAGGTTCCATTACTCTCGTAGTTGCGGGGGAGTGCTATAATTTTATTTTATATGGAAATAGCTGTTTAAAAGTCATAAATAGCAAATTGTTCTCATAGCTTCTACTTGGCTAATGCTCTGCTATCCAAATGGGATTATTTGACAAGATTATTTGAATTCTGAAAAACAACTGAAACTATGAGATGAGAAACAACACCAGAGCTTTTGTGATACGTGATATTATT